AAATGTGTTTTGTGAATTTGAAATACACAAATAAAATCGATTTAGCTTAACTTCTGTCACGTCTCACTTTTCGGTCCTGTGACTCTCTGGAGAAATATTCAAAACCAAGCATCTCCGACAAATATCCCTAAAACAATCTGTTTCCTTCAGTTACCCCCCCCCCCCCCCGTCAACCTCCCCCTCTGAATTTGTGTCTTAAAAGCTTCTCCCTGTTTGTGAGGTTGCAGTTTTCTTACACATCTGAAAGACACTGGTTTCCAAAATAGGGGGTGCGTAATGGACACAGACAAAATACCGATCAAGGACGGACATTGAAAATGACCTTAGATTATCACTGAGATTATCACTGGACACACAACCCACAGCAGACGCTCAAACGACGTTTAAACTAATCTTCAATACTTAGCACAGAAATGGAGGTATATTTAAATGTATTTTTCCTTTTCCTTTTCTTAATTGAGCATTAATTAACTATTAAATAGATTAAACAGACTAATCAGTAACAGATTATAATCCTCCCACTGTGGCCACAAAACAGAATGCAAATGAGAGTGTGTGTGTGTGTGTGTGTGTGTCGATGTGACGCAGTACAGACCTGCTGGACCGGCTGTTGATTAACTGTGTTGAAAGGAACTCAGCTCTTTGATGTATCAGTGTTGTCAGCTCTAACTAAATCACTGCTGTGCATAAAAAGAAGCCTCTTGATTACAAGAGAGACGGCAGACTCTCTCTGTTTTTTGTTTTTTTTTTCTCTCTTCCCCTCGTCCACAGCCTGACATTCACAGGTGTTGAGAATCATCTGTTTGTCTCATCTCAAATTTAATATTTCTCTTCTTGAATAAAACATGTCATTTTTTTTTCCATCCCCATTTTCTTTGTTTCCTGCTCTGACGCTTTCACCCTCCTGGGTTCTTATTGGTGCCACGAGGGTGCGTTTGAAATGAATGCTACAGAAAAATCAAAGCACGTAAATATCTTGTGGGAGTTTTTTTTCCTCTTTCTCTCTGAGCTTTCTCGTCCAACAAAAAGAACCGACACTGACGTGACTGGTGTTCCACCTGGTTCCTCCCTAACAAACGGCCGTGTGGTCTTTCTAATCCCTGCGTCCGTGGTGTTGTTGTTTTCCTCGTCCCTGCGTTCACCTCTCGCTCTCGGCCCCGTCCACGAGTCAAGTCAGGATAAGTGATGGCTATTGAATCCTATGGTAATTGTGCAGAGGAAAAGGGCACACGGTGCAGATGCGCTTCTAATGAGACATGGAGGAAGAAGGCTGACCTCTCCAGCTGCCGCTCCATGAGCATTTATCATCGCGGCCACCCCTCTGTCTGAAGGCGTGGTGGGTAGAAAGAGCACGTCACCCTCTATTGGAGGTGACGCAACGGTGCAGGTGAGGGAGGATCAGACAGAGTGGGCCGAGACACCAGATAAAGACACAATTATGAAGACAGATTGAACACGCACTCGGGGAGTGTTGGGTATTGTGCAGGGACGAGCCGATGAATGTTTGCATCGTGGTGACGGAGCAGGACTGTGAGTCCCAGATAATTGATTTGGCCATAATTGTACACCACCGGCGTCAAGCCCACAATCAGTGCAGTCAGTGCCTGTGAGCTCAGTGTGTTGTCAGACAGTGGAGGCTGATGCCTCTGCTCCCAGTGTCTGTCAGAGCGAGACACAGACGTGATGGATGGACCTGAGCCCCAGGAAGTGGTTGGTACTACAAAGAAGAAATGCCCCAAGTGGGGAGTTTTCAACACTCTGTTCCACTGTTCCACTGTGGAACTCCACACTCCAGAGTCAAATAATATGAAATAGTCATGTGTCATTCATGAACAATTCGTTAAATATGAACTAATCTTTCATATGACTCGGGAGTAATGAGTCCTCTCAGTGAGCGATTTGTTCATTTTCACGCAGTATCTTCTCCCGCCACATGGCAGGCAGCTGCATAAGCTCAGTCAGAAGGACAGGAAACAGAAAGGATTAGTTCAGGACTCACTCAACCGTTCGTCCGTCCTCAGGTCTTCGTTCTTTTGTCACGTGACAGCGTGTGGCGAGCAGGAAGCACTACGGTTCGATCACGAATCGTCCGTATGGATCGTATGAACGATGGTAATAATGTCACATTTTTGCCACATTAAATGCACCATGTAAACATGGGCCAAGGGCTACAGCACCACCTGCTGTAAAAATGAACAAAAGGTTTGTTCAATTTACTGTTGGAGAGTAAACGATCCGAGTCAGTAAAAAGAGTCGGTCTTCCCAACACGAATACGAACCCAAACTCTGTGTTTCTGTAAATAGACGTCAGACTTGAACAGTTTTGGGGGGATTTGAGGTGAAAGCCAATGAACAGAGAACATCGGTCAGGATCAATACTAATGTTGAGACAGGAAATCACTGCAGTGAAACAAAGGCTCATGTTTTACTCCAGGCTGGGACGTCACCTGGCTCCTAACACTTGGATCAGAGAGTGAGAGAATTCCCCCTTAGTGGAACTAAAGCCTTGACTGTGTTCAGGTAGTAAAGCAGAAAAAGCTCGTTTTAAAACCATCACTGATTTGTCTTTTTAAATATGAGTATTATTCTGATGACTCTAAGAATAAACTAATACTCAAACAGGGCAACGGTGGAGAAGACAATGTAGACGAAAAGCATACTGATAGAGCTGCGAGCTGAAAACGATGGTTCTCAAACTATGGTACGTGTACCAGTGTTGGCACTTGGGCTCCATCTAGTACAATCTAATATCTTTCTGTCTTTAGATAAGTTACTTCATTGTTAATTGAAGTGGTTATTTATGCTTCTTTGGTGTGTGTGTGGTTTAGAATTCCATTAAAGTCCCGGTTGTAGTTCTTTAGTCATGAATAGTTTTAGGTGTTTTGCTAATTTGGTGGTTCCCAAAGCGGGGGGCGGGCCCGAGGAGTGTGTCTTTGGCTATTGTTGAGGGGCACAGGAAGACAAATACATTTTTTAATTGCAATAATTCTCATTATTTTGCCACAGTTGGTAAAATTGCACTTGTTTGTTATGTGTTTAGTTGGAATTACAGTCTAGAAAAAAGTGGTTTAGATTGGAAACACCAGTGGAAAAGAGGGTTTATATTAGGGGTGGCTAGATCCAATGATCCAAAACTGTTTCGCTCTAATACTGGTCCAAATTTCAGGATCAAACAACTATAACCAATCAGATCTGATACTTAAGCTCAAAGCTTATAACTTATCAGGTATCAGGTTGATATCGGTGTCAGCAGATACTCTGTGTACTCTTGCAGTATTGATAGCATGTGCAATCAGCACACTGAGTGAAGACAGAAGCAAAGTTAAACTGAAATTTTCCATCAAAACATGTTGCGGTTCAACTACTGTAGGTATAATACTGAGCACTGAATGTTTTAGCCATCCAGGACATCCAACAGTGTTCTTCATAACAACTCTCCTTTAACTTCGTAAAAATAGCAAACTTTTCTCCCTTTAACTAGATCCAATTCTACAACAACACTTCATATTCACACTACCTCTCTCTAATCTCCCATCGCTGCCTCTGATGCACAACGGAAATACAAAAAAATATAGGTCACGTAGTTTAGAACAATTGTGTTGAGGCTCATTAAGTCTCCGTTAGGCTGTTCAGCAAGTAATACTGCAGAAGGAACCAGCTCCCTGCCACGTCTGCACTGCAGTAAGCCACAGTAATGTGTACTTGTGTAATTGTCCTGTTTTGCAAAACAAAATTGCGGCTCTAAATTTCAGCTCTTTCAGCTGATGGACAGGAACTGCTTATTACCCTCAGTCTGTCTGCGGAGGCTTCTCTGTCTGACCCAGAATCTTTACTCAGGCTGTTTGCATTCTGGGTCCACAACTGCTCATCTCTATATTTTCTTCTTTTTTCTGCTCAAAGTAGATCCTTAAATCTGCACTTTCATGTGAGGCCAGTGTCTGAAGTGTGAACACGTAAGCGATAAGGGATGGCTGGGTTTTAAATATGAGCTTGGCCAGAAAATGTTGAAGAGAAATCCTTGGATCTCGCTCCTCTAACAGCCCCCTACTTTCCATGCTCAGTGTCGGCCCCTCGCAGCCTTGTTTTAATCATATTTGGAACCAAATAGCAAACACAACCAGGACATGAATTTTTAAAGAAGAAATTGCTACTTTTAGGAAACTCCTGTTCCTCAAATTGCTTTAAAGTGTCTTTTCCCTTCAGAAAAGAAAATGTTTTCCATGAGACTTTGGTTTTGTTTATCTGGACTGGGAAGTGTTGGGATGAATGAGAGGCAGAGGCAGATGGAAAGATGGATGGATAGATAGATAGATAGAGAGAGAGAGAGACAGAGAGAGAGAGAGAGAGAAAGAGAGAGAGTCAGCACCTGGATCAATGCCAGCAGTCCAGAAATCAAATAAGTTTTGGTGGAATTTATTTTGCATCCATTGTTTTTCTGCTTTGTTTGCATCTCTATCAGCTGAGAGAAAATGATTTGCTCGACCACGGCGCTCCCTGCAAGAGGAGCTCCATATTACAAGAGGGAAAAATAAATTGCCTCGGCATCATGACTGTGTGGATGAGAGAATGAATTCCAATAGTGTTGTGATTAGTTTGATATCACATTCCAAGACAACGTGTTACTTAAAGTTCCAGGAGACTGAGAGAAAAACAAAAGGAGCAGGTCCTGTGGGTGTAACGCTGTGACATCACTAACAGCTTTCATGAAGGTTGGTTTGGTTTGTTTTTGACCTGAGTTGTTGCAGGTTGACCCCTGAGAACGACTTTACACTGCTGTTGACGTCTCTCTCCTCTCAGCTGCTGCTGCTGCTGAATCTCTCTTCATTCACAATCTCACTGGTGTTTTTTTTGTTTGTTTCTGTCTAATCCTGCTGACATCACCCTCTGCTTTTAATTTCCCTCTCCCTCCTCCTTTTCTCCTTATCGTCCTCCCTCTCCCCTCTCTCTCTTTTATCTAAATGCACACCTGACACTCATCACCTCCCTCTCTGGTCCTGCAGGGCGGAGGCAGCGGGCTATCAGCGGGTGCTGCAGGTGGACCTGGAGGTTAACGGACTGACGGCCAATCATGCGGCCAGGGAGGTGACGTGGCAGGTGGAGTACCCGCTCACTCGAACCCTGACCAGCGAGGTGCAGACGCTCATTCGCCTGGCACCTCAGGACTTAGGTGGCGTCGTGCCGCTAGCAATGGTGAGCTAATCCTCTGGTTTTTAAAGTGGTGCATATTTGGACGTGCTGACTGAAGGTCAGTGGCTTCCTCTCTCTACTCTGACTGTGTGCCTCTGACTGACACTAGCTGCAGGGTCTTTAGATTTTCATTCGTCATAGCATTGCAGCTATTGCATTTCTGGAAGTTAAACACATTTTTTTTTTAAGTAAAAGCCTGGTTTTATGTACAGTACAGTTCATACATTCAGCATTCACAGCACAGACCTGTTTTTAACAACGTAGAGCAGGAGAACAGTAACAGCAACAGTTCCTTCATTCGTCTTCTAGCACTTAAGCTTTTACAGCCTCTGTTTGTGAGGGAGGCGGGGGAGGGGGGGTGAAATAGGGGAGGGGTTCTAACTCAGCAGTAATTGACCACAGATAGGCCTTGACATGTCCACATGTAGAGACAAACAACCATTAACACTCACGTTCACACCAACGGTAGTGTGAACAACTACCCAGCAGTAATATTCAAACCACTTCCTGCACCGCTCGGCCTCCGTCAACAGTTCTTCCTGTTTTTGGTGTTTTCTCTCTGACAAACACCACATTTCATCTAAGGTCGGGCGTTTACACACCTTACCAACTTTTTTTCCAACTCAGTGGGGTCAGAGTTCAAACCCTGCTGCCTTGAAGTGAAAAAACACACACAAAAAAATCAATATTTTGTTTTTGTATCTCTTCCTCTGAAACCCAGTACACGAGCCGTTATCAGAGCCGGCTCACAATGTGATGACCAAAGGTCTTACACCTCAGTGTCCCAGACAGCCACTGTGCTGCATTTATTAATGAGGAGAGGACACAGTATATGTGTAAAAGAAGTAGGTACGGACTAATCATAAAATAAATAAACAGATCAGAAAGAGGTGATTCTTTGTCTAAGGATGTTATTACATTTATCAATTTTTTTCGTCTGTGTCACTGAAATAGCAGTTTGAAGAATCCAAAGTATGGACCGTTAGTTCCAGGGGGCCAATTGTTGCCCATGATTACACTTTATACAGCCCACAGCCTTGTCATAACAACACATCATGCACAATAGACATTTATTTTAGCCTCCTAGATTTTGTTTTCCCAAACAGACTTTAGTACATCCTAATGTTTATGGTCTTCACAGTGATTCTGTTGAGACCTGCTTAGAGTTGGATTAAAAAAATCATCAAGTAGAATCCTGCTAATAACAGGATGAAACCTTCACATAAACAGATCTGATAAAATCACAGTCAAACACCAGGCAGTTACAGACACGGTCACAATGGAAAAAACCACACGCTGGCTCTAATCTTTGATGCCAAATTAAACTCTCCCCTCCTCTTGTCTGTGTTGTCCTCAAACATCCTGCCTGTAGACGGAGGGAAAAGCGCAGGGGTAAAAACAGCACAGACTAAAATCAGACCTGAATACAGTGTGTGCTATAAACTGCTGAACACAATACAAGCCACACACCCACTCCATTACATTCACAGGAATCAGAATGACTTTGTGCAGTCGAGCAGACGAGACATTTTGTTGATAATGGCTCCGCGTGTCGTGGATTATGTCACACTGTTGAAATGCAGATTCCTCTCAATATTTTTCACCAAACTAGTCAGAGAAAAAAAAAAAAGGAAAATGATCAACATACTGTAGCTCAGCAGGTCAACGAAAAAAAAATTGCAACAAGCTTATTTACTAAAATGTCAGCTTCTAGCTTCTATTTAAATGTATTTATTGTAAGGAAAAACAACGACAACAAAAAACCACTCCAAACTGCCATCACACTTGGCAGATCCTGATTTTGCAGAGCTGTTCAGAGAGACTGTATGTTTGTGAACTCCAATCACAGTTTGTTCAGTAACAGACACATACAGACCCACTGCTCCAGTGTGTAAAAAAATGGTTAAATATAGTTTTATATGCCTGGTGGACGATGGCCAGGATTTTCCAAAAATGAAAAAAAACTCTGAGCACTACATAAAATTTTACAGTAGCAATTTGCTGAAGGAGCAGTTCAGCTTTGATTTACGATCGCCGGTCACTGATGGAGCTCTAAAAATTTTTACTTCCAACACTTTAAAGTTTTAGAGTACGTTTAAAAATAGTACATGTCCTGAAAATAACATTTGAGGAGACAGAGTACAGTATACTTAGTCTAGAAGCTTTGACTTTTCATCTAAGAGGCAGTGTTGCTAACGTTTAAAAAAGTCTTTAAAAAAAAAAGCATATTTAGAGGAAGATGTCAATCAAATGTATTAAACTCCACAGTTTTGCCAACTTTTGAATCATGCCTCAGGTTCTTCAAGGTCTTTGCGGTTCTTGTCAGACAAAAAAAGGCAGATGACATCACAGAACATAAAACTTCGTTTCTGGTAAATTAAGACAAATGGTCCTTAAGTGTAAGTCATGGATCACTGGCACGGCACGCTCAGGTAGACACACATCTTCAAACATCTGTGCACTTCTAATTCCCTCCAAATATGAAGAGGGACTCTGTTCATGAAGGGGGGAAAGGATTAAATGATAAATGGATATAGATTTTTTGGGAAAGAAGCAGAGCGCTTGCTTTCTAATAATAGGAGGAATAAAAGAGATCAACTGAGGCAGTGTGTGTGTGTGTGTGTTTTCTGACTGTAGTTGTTAAAAAGGGATTATGAAAGTTTTTTTTTTTTTATCTGAAATGAACTGGAAGGGCCCGCAGCAAGGACAGCAAAAGCGTTAGCCGCTGAACTCTCCAGACGTGCATTAGGAAAAAAAAGGAAAAAAAGACAAGAAAAGGAATAAACAATTTAAAATCCTCTCTGCCTTTGACATTCCCTGACTCTAAAGTCGGAACATCAGAGTCACCTGACTTCAAGGCTAGTTTTGTACAATAGAGTTACAACAGGGGCATAAGTTCATTCTTTGTTTAATTTAAAAACACAAAAAACGTTTTTTTCTTCTATAATTTTGAAGCTGCTCCTCAGTCAACACTACTGAATTTTATTTTCTACTTTAAAGTGGAAAAGGCCATTTCTATTTTAGCTGACGGTACACTTTAATGTTAATTTTTCTTCATCGCCAGCAAAAACTATGTAAACATTCTAAACATGTAAACGTATAAACATTAAAGCACTGTTTCCCAAATGTTTTGGAGCCATGATGCATATTTTGATTTGAAAATCTCACTTCAGACCACCAACAAAATAAGTCACAAATGTCTCTGTGTTAAAATATACTGACTTTCCAGTCTCAATTTAATCACTATTTCCAAACTCAGTGTGAAACCAGTGCCTGTTTAGTTGAACACAACACTGATAACCTTGGAGGAATTGAAGAAAGATTTGACCAAAATTATTTTAATAGTTGTCGACTAAGAATCAAACTAAAAGCAGCTCTAATGACTGAATTAAGACTTGGTTACAGTTCAGTACCAAACCTATTGAGAAACCACAAGTTTTATGTCATTCTGAGCGAGTACTGCTACTCTCAAGGAGCATGAGAATACTTTATTACCATCATAGCTCTTTACCTAAAAGTTGTATTGGCTTAATTAAAATACAATTTGACTACAGACTAAAAGCTAATAAGCAGTAGCACTAGTACAGTACTTCTCAAACAGTGGGGCGGGGCCCTTCTTTGGGGGCATGGTGAGGTGCCAAGGGGGGGCGTGAGGGGCTTCCAATGGAATAAAGCACGCTGGACATCAGTGTACCACTGCTGTAATGCTTGAATGATAACAAGCCTCCAGTCACTAGGGGGCAGCAACTCCTACAGTGGTTTGTACAGATAAAAATATACACGTTATCAGGTTCTCGATAGTATTTCAATTCGCAGGAATGTGGGTCGGGGAGAGGTGGGGGGGCGTGAAAACATTTCTGTCCCCAAGGGGGGGCATGACAGAAAATAAATGAGAACCACCGCCCTAGTGTAACGTAGGTGTGTAGATTCAAATGAAGTTGTTATAATTCAAAAATGCTGTTGAAAGAAAGAAAACAGAAAGTATCTCTGGATGATGTTGCAAACATTGAAAATTAACATTTTACAAGTTAAGTTTGATTGAAAAAAAAAAAAAATATATATATATATATAGAGAGAGAGAGAGACTGGTATTGCTAAGCCCATAATACATAACTTTTACCTTCAGTGATAGTAACTTGTTGTTTCTTAAAAGGACAATTTCATGGTGGCGTCAGAACGCCCATACTTTATAAGCTAATTAAACCTAATTAAACTCCATTCACAGACGTCGCGTGCACTGCTGTGAATATCTGCGAACGCCGGGTGAAATAAATTCATAAATCTGACGCAGCAGCTGGAGATTAATGTCAGGAAAACAATTAAATGCTGCGGCGGGGGGGGCAGCCGCGCCTGTGTGTGGACATTATTTCATCATTGTGTACAGAGAGCAGACACAGCAATTCGATAACAAAAAAAACCAAACCAAAAAATAAACCTTGTCTTCCTCTGATCACTTCTGGGCCTCACTCCTACACACAGCCGCGCACACATGTCGTACCAGAGCTGTCTGCCAAACAGGAATCACACTTTCCTGCACGGTTGTCTGGATTTAACAGCTAAAATCTGTCCACCTGGGTAAACGACGGGAGCTGTGACAATTACAGAATGTCGACAGCGCTGTGCGGAAAAAAACTGACGTGGACAAGAAAAGACACGGTCGAAAAAAGGCAGAAAAATAAACTCAGTCGAGTCTGGAACTTAGGCAGGAAGTTCATTTTGTTGCTGGACAAATAATCCAACATCCAATATAAAACTATTTTTTTTCCTTTTCCTTGTTTTTTCTTTTCAGCCGCTCTGTGATTGATAATCGCTCGACTGAGATCAGGAAATTGAAAAACGTATTAAGTTCAAGTTGATCTTTATTGGACAAGGACTGATTCTGTGTTGGAGTGAAATTTGCATTTCGTAATGGATTTGAACAAAGTCAATACAGACTTTAGATCTTGTTTTATTTTCTACTGTAGTGAACATTTGAGTTTGTTAACTCTGCCTGATCTGCTGCC